CTTAAGCATATAATTGTGTCATATACATGTCAATAGGATAAAGATGATCAGAAGCCACAGTTATAACACGAAAAAGGGTCATAAGAAAATAAATGTAATACCTATAGAGAGGTTCATTTAAGATAGGAAAAGAAAGGAATAAAAATGTGGGAAATGAGGAAACAAAAAGTCTAGCTTTCTCCTTTTTTAACTATAAACTTGCAGTAGAATATTGAAAATGTGCTTCTTCTTGGCACCTAAAATTAAGATTTGCATTCTTCGTAATTCAGTTTTATGTAGAAGTGTTCAAAATATAGAATGCCCTACATACTCTAAGTTGACTTTTTGCTTTGTGTGTCCCTGAATTTAGAATGGGGAAATAAGATGATTAAGATGAAATATAGCGATAACTGTGTGTTTTGCTTAATTATTATTTTATAGATATGTGTGTTGTGGCTTATACAGGTTATTCCATCAGTTGAGAAAATTGAAAAAAATCTTAAATTCTCAACATTCTAAAGAAACATCTGCACTAGAAGTAAGCAAGTAAGTAAGTATTTTCTTTACTAAATATTACATAAATTAATACTTCGAATCTAGCCAAAATTTTTTATTTTTTAGTTAAAATTCATTTCTGAAAAAGAAGAAAAGCCAAGTCTATGGTTCCGCGTTTTTGAGTGTAGCTTGTTGAAAGTGGAGTGTGTGAGATGGTAAAGTTTATAATACATCCTTATAAAGGCTTTATGGTTATGGGCCACAGTTCCAATACATCAGTTCACAGGGAATCAGAGGAGTGTGCTTTTATTGGAAGAATTTTAGTCTTTGGAATTGCCTTAGAGAAGCACTGGCAAAATTTTGTTGATCTTCAAGATATGAAATAGATTTCTTCTTTCCTAAATTCATTTAGACCAGAGTAATGCCCAGAGTATTGCCACTTATGTATCTTACCCTAGCATTACATCATTGAGAAACAGGATAGGCACATTTAGTTAACGTTTATCAACAAGAAAAAAAAAAAAACACTTGTGAAATTAGAAAAAGATGACCATTTTCTTTGTTACATACTGCAACTGTTTTCTTATCTTTCTAGTCTGAATTTTAAATCAGCCAGATAGGTGAGTGACTCAGAAAATGAGTAGCTCATACCAGCACCATGGGAAGCACCATGGTGCCATGGACAGATTTGTGCTGTATCTTCCACTGTGCAGCCAGAGCCATGAAACTCAGCTTCTGGTGTCACTGACAGTGGAAGGCTAACGGGAACTCCTCTGGCAGGGCTGTCTGACACTGAGGTGCCATCAGCCCATACCTGGCATGTAGTAGGCCCTCAGTTCCGTTGAGTTGCTTGGTCATGTTCGACTGTTTGTGACCCCATTTGATGGGCCATCCCTTCTGACCCATCCAGGGGAACGGTTTGTCTCAAACTGTTCCAAGTCTCTTTCCCTCAGCTGCCTTGGCAGCTCCTGCCAGCTTATCCTCACTTGACATCCACCATACCTGCCTTCTGTTATCTTTCCATTTTTGTCCATCCCTATTCTTCCTTTGATAGAGATGCATCACAATGTCTTTTTCTATAATGCTGTTCCTTTGTGGTATTCCATCTTTAATGTAATAGATATTATGCTGTTTCTTGCTCAGAATCACCTTTGAGGACTTTTTAAAAATTCAGATCAGCAACTTTGAGTTGTAGAGGAGGGAAAACCAGGGCAATGTAAATAACCGGGTAGAGCTAGAGAGAGGGAAGTGAAGTTAACAATGAAGAAGGCCCTGAATGAGAGAGGCTGGGGGAGGAGATGTAAACACCCACACTGGCCTGGGCCAGCTCTTGCTTCTCGGCTAGACCCTGTGGTCGGGGCCTGGCAGTGTCAGGGGCTTATGCTTAACTTTTCTAGTTTTCCACTCTCCTGGAACATGCTGTAAAAGCTCATGGCACAAGGGATGCTATAGCTTCTACCTTATAACAAGGGGGCTATGGAAAACCACGGTGAAAGCATCAGGATTGCTGATTGTGTGATATATTCTTGGAAATTAAAAACTTTTAGGAATTAACTCTTTTGAATTGTCTCCACTAGCCCACTTTTGACTGGACAGATGTTGGAGAGAATTGCCACAGAATTTAATCAGTTACAGTTTCATGCTGTTCAAAGCAAAGGCTTGCCTCTTTTGGGCAAAATAAGACCAGTTACTGTTGTTTTAGATTTTTCACACTTTAGTATTTAGGAATTTGCTAAATAATTTTGATTTTACCTGGTAGAGGCAGACCTTGTTTTATTGCCCTTAGATTTATCGTGTGTCACAGATATTGCACTTTTTTTTAAATTGAAGGTTTATTGCAGCACTGCATCAAGCAGGTCTATCACCATGCTAGTACCCTTTTAACAGCACTTGCTCACTTCAAATGCTGTTATCTCTGTATCTCATTCTGATAGTTTTCACAGTATTTCAAACCTCCACTGGCAAAATGATGATAGCTTGCTGAAGGTTCACATGATGGTTGCATTTTTTAGCAATAAAGCATGTTTTAATGAAAGTAATTAAGGTCTATATCTTGTTTGTTTTACATATAATGCTTTTCCAACTCAATATACTGTATGTAGTGCAGTATAAACATACACTTTATATCTGCTGAGAATCCAAGAAACCCCCATAACTGGCTTTATTGTGCTAGTAGTCAATTTATTGTGGTGGCCTAGAACCACACCTGCAGTATCACCAAGGTATGCCTGTATTGTTCTGACAGTTGCTGACCTGCAGGATTTTGAAACTGGCTTTGAATTTTCTCTTAATTTTTTGTGTTTTAGGCCCCTGCCTCCTAAGTGTCACACATTATAGATTTTGTGTAAAGACACAGACATATTCTCTGAGTTATAAGGGTAAAATTAATTCTAAATTTCATGTAACTTGACACACTATATGATTTAGTCAGAATTAATTTATCCAAAACTCTTGACTGGACTTTAGAATCATGATGTTTGTCAGATTTATTCTGTAGCTTAAAAGAACCTCATTCTGAAGTGACATCTAAATCCTCCTTTGATACAGCAAAGATTAACTTACAAAGAGATGTGAAGAGGAGGAGAGATTCATTGTTCCTCTCCAGAAAATGTTAATATTTAATTTAATAAGAAATGTGTTATGTGTGTGTTTGGATCTTAAGAAATGATTAAAACTGGAGCTTTTTAACGTGTCTTTCTTGGAGCCTATAGCTGGTATTACAGCCATGTTACAACAGTCACTGGAAGGCCTCCTATTAGAAGGTCTTCAGATTTCCAGTGTCGATATTATTCGGCACTGCTTACAGACTTAGGCCACAATTGACAAGACACGGGATGCAAAGGCGTCAGTTGGTCAAGTCCTCATGAAACCATATGTAGATGAGGTTTGTGTACTGTTGAATAAGGCCTTCATTCAGCAGATGTTCATAGAGCATCTGCTCTGTCTTGGATGCTTTACTGGGTGTAAGGGGTAGTTTAGAGGCCTTTCTGTAAAGATTGTAAAGATTCTCAGTTACTGTAGTACCATCAGTTGGAAGAAAAGGTTGGTCCCTGGTGGTGACAACCGCCATGCAGGAGTCAGGCACCTTCTCAGTGTTTTTTTAGTGATGCTGTAGCCCAGGGATCATGCTAATTTAGTGGGAGGAGGGTCTTGCCTCGGGAGCAGGAATGTATCAAAACATTTTTAGGTCAGTTTTATGGTATATAAATTATTTGCCACTAAATTCTTAAAATGAATTTTTAACTATTAGTCTAGTGGGTAAAATGGAACAAGTAAGCAGATACCAAAACTGCAGTGTAAGTTCCTGGTGAGGGAGCCTGCTGAAACCCTGACCATGGAAAGTCTGTGCTGAAGGTTGTCTTCACAGAGATGTGGCCTAAGTCTTGAATGCTGAGGAGTCTCTTAGCCAGGAAGGTGGGAGGGAGGAAATAGTCACTGATGCAGGACTTTCATAGGCAAATTAGCAGCATAATACCCTAAGTCCAGAAGTTGACTATCCAGTGTCCTTCATTTCCAAGGATGCAGTTAAACTTTGGAAAGTAAGCATATTCTGCCTTTGAGCAGCCAGGATGTAGACTGAACCGTATGAAGTTGCCAATACTCAACGTTTTCTGACACACAAAAATGGCAGCTTTATCTGGTTCAAACTGATGAAAGTCACAAGTCCATCCTCAGTGTTTGCAGACTCTCTTCAGTCCTCTATCCGTGTGGGTGCTCTTCCTGTCCAGTAAGCACAAAGGCCTGTTCACCATGACTTTGGGATGAAAGCCTCCCATTTATAAATGGGGGACATGGAATCCCATTGATAAAAATGAAATGTAAGGATTAACTTCAGTAATCCTTTCAGCTTTTATTAGAGTTACTAAAAATAAATGATCTGTCACTTTCCTCTCTTCCTATCCTGTTATATTTCTTTTTTTTAAATGCATTATTTTTTTTCTCACTTATTTTTATTAGTTGGAGGCTAATTACTTTACATCATTGCAGTGGTTTTTGTCATACATTGAAATGAATTAGCCATGGGTTTACATGTATTCCCCATCCCGGTCCCCCCTCCCACCTCCCTCTCCACCCGATCCCTCTGGGTCTTCCCAGTGCACCAGGCCCGAGCACTTGTCTCATGCA